AAAGTATTCCTTCGAATATTTACGCAGCACAACACGCACACTCATTAATTTTCATCAATGGGAAAGCGAACCTAAGCCGCAGCTTAGAGCGGCGAATGTGAATTTTGTTTCTAATTTTTTTTTTTTGCATATACATACATATATCCTGGAAATCCAGGCCAGCCAATGACAGCAGGGAGCTCTCGAATGTGCTGCGCATCATTAATTTTTAGAGCTTAGCCAGATGACAAGCCCGAACAACAAGCGCGCCCGGCCAACACAAAAAATGAATCGATCCCAAGATGATGTTCAAAGCCACAATCGTATCTCTAGTTGAGCTTCAACGCCCCAATCCTGTTTGTTGATATGAAAGAAATAATAAATTTAAATAAAATAAAAGCAGCGGAGCATTCACTATGACAGCCAGAGGCGGGAACTACGGACGAAAATCCCTGAAACTCGGGGCGTCCTGACGGTTGCCTAAGCCGATCCACGGAAAACTCAACCATCAGCAGTCATCTGCGGCAAGAAGGAGACAGTTTGTGGAGAGTTTTGCATATTTATGATTTTCAAGGATTTGTTGTTGACGCCAAAAAAAGGAAAGCAGGAATAAACAAATGCACTGGACGGAAAGGGTAGCAGTACGATTATAAGTATACACACTTAATGTTAAAACATAAGAGGATTCTTTAACATTGCCGTCCAAAAAATATAAAATCGACTTAATCATTATTCTAGCTTGTAGCTTTTGGGGCATGGCACTCACATATCGACCGACCAAAATCTACATTTCTACCACCAAAATCACGCATTTCCGGCACGTATGGCACTTCCGGCCAAGCTCATGTCGAACAGCATGTGCTTCCGTCTCGTTTCTTTTCCGCCTCGCGCTGTCTCGCTCTCTTTGACAGATCAGGACCAAAGGAAAATGTTAACTCATTTGCTAGGAAAATGACTTTTTAATATGCGACACACTTTGGCCACTGAGCCGGGCGAGTCCGATTTGAATATTTATTAAGAGTCCAAGGTCCAGGCCGGAGAAGTACGCATGAGAGTCCTTGAGTGGCCAAGACCCAGGCGGAAGTGCGTAGCGGTCATTAGGCTGAACATTACTTTCGCTGCCCCAAGGACGCGTGCCAAGTGCGGGCTCGCTAAATGGTCAAGTGGTGGTCATTCCCCATTCACGTTTACCACATGAGGTCGGGCCACGCACGAATGGTAGAAGGGACTTATTCCGTGGTATATGGCCGGTAAAGGATATATGTCCTGGTATATGGCTAAGTTTTTGTTTAGCCAGTGCCGTTGATTTGCATAAGTGTCGCGGGGTGATTAGGTTGGCAGGACTATTTGGAAATTAATGAAAACTAACGCATGGAGCGCGTGCTGGTTTATGTGGGTATCGCCTTATTCCATAAATGGATTTCTGATGGCAAACGGAAACTGCCTTACAAATGATTCAGCCACAAAAAATGCCGAATTTGTAAATGTACAATATAATATTCATCAACATTACAAAGAATGGGAAACGTGGTGGCTGAGCAGGTGTATTTCTTCCGATTATGATACTCGGCAGAACAAACTTAGTTTTTTGAGTAAAAATTTGAATCACATGAGCATTGCTTTTTTTTTGTCATGTGTCAAATTCAGGTATGTGTTGAGCTCCGGGAATATATTCAGTCTTACTCCATCCTTTATTCAAGCAACACCTAAATTTTTATTGTCTTGGTCCGGTGTTTTTATTTGTTTTGGATATTTTTTGGATTTCTCGCAAGAAATTATTTCATAAAATTTTAAGTATATTTTAGTGAAAAGTAAGTAACTAAAAACTGAAAATTCCTCAGCCAATAAAAGGTTTTCCTACAGCACTTTCATCGATCATGTGTTGCGGATACGGGCCTACAGTGTGCTACCCCTGCTGTAGCCCCTGCTTCAGTGGAAGATGCTTTGCCCCACGATGCGGGTTTTACAGTGGACCATGTGGACCCTGCTGCGGAGGTGGCTGCTGTAGTAGCTGTGGACCATCTTGCTAGGATGACCATCAACCTATACTATCTCCGGGGAGAGCTGGCTAAAACAGAGTCCTGGCGAAATATATTTTTCCACTCATTCTCAAGCACACAAGAAAATGTAACCATAAAGATCAGGCTTAATAAAGGATATGTAAAATGACTATAATCTCTGTGTTCACAATAGTTGTTGGTCAACCGAGGGGCCTTTATGTAAAATAGCTTTTTTTCGTGGGTGGGTCGTGGAGTTATTAGGTTGGAAATTTATTAAAAACTAACGCATAGGGAGTATGGGGTTGGTTATGAGGGAATCCCTTTAATGTAAAAATAATTGTTTTTTGAGTGGAAAAAAGCTTAAAAAAGTAAAGATGATCCGAATATTCTTGTAGATGTTTTTTAAAAAATAAGGTACCCATATATATTTAAATAAGGCATAACTCAGCGACAACTGTGTGATAGACTGAATCTGATAGACTACTTTATGCCTGAATGAGTTAAATGATTTAACAAGCTAACACTTGTATTAGTAAAAAATTTGCATCACATGGGCCTTGCTTTTTTTATCTTCTGTCATATACAGGAAGGTGTGGAACGCTTGGAATATCATCAGTCTTACTTCATCCTTTATTCAAGCAACACCTAAATTTGTTAGTGTCTCGATTCAGTGTTTTCATTTGTTTTGGATATATTTTTTTGAAATTAATTATTTCATAAAATTTAAGTTTCTTTTAGTAAAAGTGAGTTCAAAAAAAAAATATTAAAAAAAAAATATCCCATAAATAATATTAAATTCCTTCAGCTCTTGCATCAATCATGTGTTGCGGATACGGACCTACAGTGTGCTACCCCTGCTGTAGCCCCTGCTTCAGTGGACGATGCTTTGCCCCACGCTGCGGGTTTTACAGTGGACCATGTGGACCCTGCTGCGGAGGTGGCTGCTGCAGTAGCTGTGGACCATCTTGCTAGGATAACCGTCTACCTATTCTTTCTGCGAGGATAGAATCCGAGACCTGGCGAAACGCACTCCACTCGTTCTTTAGCACACAAGAATATGTGAATACAAAAATCAGGCTTAATAAAGGATATGTGCAATGACTATAATCTCTTCGTTTATAATAACTATTAGTCCACCCACACAGTTCTAAACCACAGGGCCCAGTCAAGTGGAGTACCTTAAGCATTTACTGGATCGATTCTGCACCATTCTGCATCAAAATCCTGAGACAAAATATTTTTCAGATTTTTTGTCCATTTTTCGTGATGGGATCCCTTGAAAATGAGTTTTCCCCTATAGGCCCCACTACGATAGCTATATCTTCGCCAATTCTTATCCGATTCCCAAGCGGAGTATCTTAAACGATTTCTGGATCGATTCTGCACCATTCTGCATCAAAATCCTGAGACAAAATATTTTTCAAATTTTTTGTCCATTTTTCGTGATGGGATCCCTTGAAAATGGGTTTTCCCCTATAGGCCCCACTATGATAGCTATATCTTCGCCAATTCTTATCCGATTCCCAAGCGGAGTATCTTAAACGATTTCTGGGTCGATTCTGCACCATTCGGCATCAAAATCCTGAGACAAAATATTTTTCAGATTTTTTGTCCATTTTTCGTGATGGGATCCACTGTGATGGCTATATCTTCGCCAATTCTTATCCGATTCTCAAGCGGAGTATTTTGAACGATTTCTGGATCGATTCTGCACCATTCTGCATCAAAATCCTGAGACAAAATATTTTTCAGATTTTTTGTACATTTTTCGTTATGGGATCCCTTCAAAATAGGTTTTCCCCTATAGGCCCACTGTGATGGCTATATCTTCGCCAATTCTTATCCGATTCTCAAGCGGAGTATTTTGAACGATTTCTGGATCGATTCTGCACCATTCTGCATCAAAATCCTGAGACAAAATATTTTTCAGATTTTTTGTCCATTTTTCGTGATGGTATCCCTTAAAAATGGGTTTTCCCCTATAGGCCCCACTATGATAGCTATATCTTCCCCAATTTTTATCCGATTCTCAAGCGGAGTATCTTAAACGGTTTCTGGATCGATTCTGCACCATTCTGCATCAAAATCCTGAGACAAAATATTTTTCAGATTTTTTGTCCATTTTTGGTGATGGGATCCCTTGAAAATGGGTTTTCCCCTATAGGCCCCACTATGATAGCTATATCTTCCCCAATTTTTATCCGATTCTCAAGCGGAGTATCTTAAACGATTTCTGGATCGATTCTGCACCATTCTGCATCAAAATCCTGAGACAAAATATTTTTCAGATTTTTTGTCCATTTTTCGTGATGGGATCCTTTGAAAATGGGTTTTCCCCTATAGGCCCCACTATGATAGCTATATCTTCCCCAATTTTTATCCGATTCTCAAGCGGAGTATCTTAAACGATTTCTGGATCGATTCTGCACCATTCTGCATCAAAATCCTGAGACAAAATATTTTTCAGATTTTTTGTCCATTTTTCGTGATGGGATCCCTTGAAAATGGGTTTTGCCCTATAGGGCCCACTGTGATGGCTATATCTTCACCAATTCTTATCCGATTCTCAAGCGGAGTATCTTAAACGATTTCTGGATCGATTCTGCACCATTCTGCATCAAAATCCTGAGACAAAATATTTTTCAGATTTTTTGTCCATTTTTCGTGATCCCTTGAAAATGGGTTTTCCCCTATAGGGCCCACTGTGATGGCTATATCTTCACTAATTCTTATCCGATTCTTAAGCGGAGTAGCTTAAACGATTTCTGCACCATCATTTCTTGATTTCTTGCATCAAAATCCTGTGAAAAAAAAAATGAAAATAAAAAGTCTGAATATTCTTACATGAATAAACAATTTACATCACATGGGCTTTGCTTTTTTTTTTGTCTTCTGTCAAATATAGGAAGGTGTGGAACGCTTGGAATTACATCAGTCTTACTTCATCCTTTATTCAAGCAACACCTAAATTTGTTAGTGTCTTGATTCAGTGTTTTCATTTGTTTTGGATATATTTTTTTGAAATTAATTATTTCATAAAATTTTAGTTTCTTTTAGTGAAAGTGAGTTCAAAAAAAAATATTTTTTTAAAGTGAGATCCCATAAATAATATTAATTTCCTTCAGCTCTTGCATCAATCATGTGTTGCGGATACGGACCTACAGTGTGCTACCCCTGCTGTAGCCCCTGCTTCAGTGGACGATGCTTTGCCCCACGCTGCGGGTTTTACAGTGGACCATGTGGACCCTGCTGCGGAGGTGGCTGCTGTAGTAGCTGTGGACCATCTTGCTAGGATGACCATCAACCTTTTCTAGGAGAACTCTCCGCGAGGATAACGCTCTAAAACCCATTCCTTGCGCAACGTATTTTCCAGCTTATACGTCGGTACACAGGAATATGTGAATCCAAAAATCAGGCTTAATAAAGGATATGTAAAATGACTCTACACACTCTGCGTTCATAATAGTCTTTGGTCAGCACAACCAGGGGTCAGTTCCAGCACTCTATTAGCCTATCAATTACGCTGCTAATTGCCCAATGACCGCTATAAAACCCCTCTACTTTCTCTACAACTAAATAATGCTAATTTATGCACTGCCCATGGCGTGAAGTCAAACAGAACTATAAAGCCATACAAACACTTCAGAAGTCAGCGGGTCAGCCGTAAACCAGTTGACCCGACTGACCACTCCTGGTCACTTCCGGTTTTAGGGCCCCTTTCCCTCTGCCTGTGGTCAGTGTGAACACGGATAAGCAGGCGTGCTTCGGGGTTGGGTGACAATGCAAACATGACATGATTCGCATTATCACTTATGTCAGTAATTAGCATTTGATTGCCGGAGGGGTGAGCGGTGCTGCTTGACCCTTGGTCAGCGTGAAAATATCCCAGGCAATTGCAGATTGCGGAACGGTAATGATTTTCCTTTCTAGCTAATCGGACGCTCTAATCCTTTATAATAGAGACAATGCACCTCCCACTAAGTGCGCAGATGTCCTGGCCTCCTGGACTGTGGGTGTTTTTTATGGTGATCCATCCATATTATCCACGTCCCCGTCACATCTCTGTCCGCGAGTCGCGTCTGGCAGCGACAGGGGACACATTATTTTAATTTTTCCACAGAAATTTTCTTACATTTACCCTGAAAAGTACCCCAAAACCGAGGGAGAAAAACGCACTCGGAGGGTGGCAACTGGAAGCGAAAATAAAAATTGAAAATCGTAAAAAAGCGATGCTTCAGCAATGGAACATTAAATGAGTCTAAATAATTTATGCCAGCTTTGGCGGGTGGGAGGTACGTGCGTATAGGACAGACTCCGGCGGGCAGTGCAAGGTGGGAGTGGGTTTGGAGCGGGAAAATACCCAGAGCGACATGTGCTCGCATCCCGCTAATTTTTTAAGGTTTTTTTTGGTGGATTTCCATTCTAAAAAAGCCATGGAGAGCACCGGGTCTGGAATACCCTAGGTTTAGAAATGGCATTTGTGACACACATTTTTTTAATAAAAAAACTAAAGGACTTCTCAATGCCACTTTCTCAATTCAATTTCAATTCAAACTTTAGAAACTAACCAAGGGGCCAATATTTTCTACCCTTTTCTAATATTACAGGGTATAACCAGCTTCAACCCCTGCGGCAAGTGGACTCCCCAAATTCCGAAATATTTTAAAATATACTAGACATTTCTCTATGTATTATAGTATATACACTTCACATCCTTAAATGTATGTGTGTTCCAGACATTATTATTTGTTCTCTGGGCTCTTGGTGGCGCGCCCTTAACACATTTTTTAATGCGTTTTCCGGGCCGGCGTGTGTGTGTGTGTGTATTTGCTCATTAAGCAGAAACAAAGTTAAGGAAAGTTTCCTACCATCTTCAGACATTTTTTGTTTCCGTTCTGTTTGCCTTTTTCTTTTGGGGTTTTCCCTGTTTCCTCATTTGACTTTACATGCGCCGCTTTATTTTCCTATTCGGGAAAACAGGGTGTTTTAACTTTGGGAATACTTATTATGAAAAACGCATGAAAATCCCTAGTTTGATGCGGGAAAGAGGTTGAATTATTTTCACCTCGAAGGAACCCCTGTATTTCACGTACTGCCCGACGAACGGGAGCTTCTCTCATTAATTTTTGCTTATCTTGACATTGTAAAATTTTCGTATCCTTGCGACTTGTTTATTTACGTGCTTACTCGCCTGTATTGTCCAGGACCTTCGAGATCTGTTTTGATTCCCGGCGGAGGGGAGCACCATCTCAAAATACAAGAGATTAAATCTTGTCAATAGTCGCCAACGACGAATATTAATCGAGCTCTCCAATCTTAATTACAGAGCCCCACATCCCCGCCCCAGAACCCGTTCCATCGGGCATCTAAATGGGCAGCCGCGCTAACCACATCACAGTAGGCCCGCACTGGGCTGTACATTTTAATAATCTTAATAACAGTAATGCCTCTATCGCCGCCATTATTGGAATCAAAGCCATCGGACTTGCGGCAGCGTCGGGGGCGGAGGAGGACCTCACCGCATCTCCAGCGGGCTGGTGACCGACAAAAGTCAGCCAGGAACTCGACGAAAACTCACAGCATTTTCGCTCGAAAGCCGAGTAATTACGCATTCAAGTAGAAAAAGTTTATCTCTTGTCGAAAATTGAAAAATTTTCATTTCATAAAATGAGATTAAAACGCGAGAGCCCTGGTCGCCGCCGATGGGGCAAGAGGCTGTGGCGACTGAAGAGGTCGGACGGCCTGGGGGAGACGAGACCCATCCCGGGGAGCCGCCGTGAAAGCCGTGCAAACCACAAAACCATGGGAATGGCCAGGCCGAAGGGGGGAAAGGGACACCAGCCGCGAAGGGCTTAAATCTAGAAAGTTTACTGCCAAAATATTTTTAAGAAAATTATAATAACGCAAACGAAGACGGGGAGGAGGGTAGTGGCCGCCAAGGGAGCTGAGAAGAAAATAATAATGGCCGCCAACGCGGACGCGGCTGCAAGGAAAAGGGTTTCAGGACGAGGCAAGGACGAAGTCGAGCAGTGTCGATGAGGGCGAGATGTCCTGGATGACAGTCTGGCAACGCCACAGCGGAGGCTGTGTGTGTGTGTGTGTGTGTGTGTACGTGGCAGGGTGTTTGTCCTGCCAGTTCCACGTCCATACGCACTTTCAACCCTTTTCGCGCTGGCGGGGAAAATTGCGTAAAGTGCGAAATTCGCTGCGACTTTGTGTCTGTATGGGTGTACTCGCACACACGCACACCCCCCGGATACATTATGTACTCAAAAATGTTTCATTTTACGACGTATATACTACAGTCCGCACCAGTAGATAGCGACTAAAAGGGTTGTCCTGGCCGGCAAATGTTTCCTGCGGCGGTTATTGGATTTCAAAATGAAATCCATTTGATGCGAACGATGCTTTTGATATGTGGGGTAAGCGCGGCCTTAGAAGCTCGGTAGTTAAATAAATTAACAGCCAGCGGCCAGGAAGGAGTCTGGGGAAGTAATAAAGCTGTCACAGGGGGCTAGAATTAGATTTGAGTGATGCGAATTAAAAGTTACATTAATGGGCAGAAGCGGCGCAGACTAAAGCCCCATAGAACTCGTCTTGAGAGTCAATAGGCCTAAGGCAGAGTTACTTAAATATGTGTAGCATACTTTTTTGGCACCTATTATAAGAATCTTCTAATAGTCTTTTCTTATTTTATGGCGTTTGCTTTGACAAACACTTCTCCTGTTTCGAGATGAAACAATTGAACTGATTGTGGAATGAAAATCAAAACTCGCAGCGGAAAACACTGTAAACAATATAGGGCAGCTGCATTTAGAACTCCAGAGAAGCTGCGAATAGAAAAGCCGCCGAAAAATTTGCATACGTTTATGAGTTCAATCGAACAGGCGGGAAATCGGGGAAAGCCGCTCGGGATGCTGCCAACGAGGGCAGGAAAAAAAAACGCCGCTTCCCAGGACAGACAGATCAGAGTGCCAACCCAGAACCGAATCCGAATCCGAATTGAATCATTTAGCAATGGAAAGGCAAAGGTGCCAAATATTAGGCGGAACAAAGGAGGAATATGAATCGCTTTCATATGCAAATTGGAGTGCAATCCGAGCGAGCTGAGTGAGGCCCGTAATGGGAATCTGATTTTGATTTGGCACGTAGCCTACAAGGCGGAGAAGGCATCTGGATCCAGGACCTTGTGCTTCAATGAAAGTGGCGTTCTCGAGAGCTCCTTCTTCGCATCCCCACATCTCAACATCTCAACATTTTAGTAGCGTTATTTATCCCCCTGGGTACCCCGGGGTCCTCGCTAATCCCTTCCAAATGAAAAGCAGCGTGCGGCCGCCAGAGTGTGTAGTGAAAATTTCTCCCCTCCTGCGGCATCAGCGTGGAAGACAAAATGGCGCCGCTTCTCGAACTAATCCAATTTATTACAGCTCCATAACTTTTTCCTATTTGCTTTTCCCTTCGCTGCCCCCGGTCCACACTCGAGACTGACAGACGCTAAATGCGTCTTATTAGACGAGTTGTGTGTGTGGGTGGTTCTGTGAGTGTGTGTACCATGTTTACCCTCCCAGAGTTCCCAGCGAACTTTGACTCTGGCCCCCCACCTCCATCTCCATCTCCGTCTCCGTTTACTTCAATTTCAAGCTTCTATCTTTTTTTTTATGCTTTTTATGATAAATTGCATTTAGCAACCACCGACGCCAAGATACACCACCACACCACACCACTCCATGACGCCACCACCACCGCCAGCCCAAGCTGCCACCCTCTCCTACGCAACTGCAATGGTGGGGTGGCACGGCATGCGTTTCCATTGTTGTTGTTAGGATATGGACACACTCGTGTAAAGGATTTAACTTTCGATTAAATCACAAGGGCCCGTCCCCCGAATAGACACTTGGAAAATGGCGGCAAAGGACTTCCTATGCCTTCTAGGATCTGAACTATCTTCTGTGTGATGCGTGTTGGTTTAAAACTAGTCAGCGGAAGATGCAAATTATTTTATGACCATCCGCTTAGCAAAACTGATTCAGGGTTATTCACTGTCCCTGGTTAGCACAAGCTCCATAAACCCAGAGTAAACTAAAGAGTCCTTCCCAAGGAGTGACAACAAATTGCCAGAGAATCTGTTTGCACTCCGGCTACTGAAAAATTTTATAGATTTTGCGCTCGTATTATAAGCAAAAATATTAGCTTGCGTTCTTAGGTGGTTTATCCAAAGGATGAATGTCTATATGCGAGCTGGGGACTCAACTCGACTTTCCCCGATTTTCAAGCTGATTTCCCGCTGACAAATATCGCGTGTTTGTCCCTGATCCTTCGGAGCGTTAAGTGCATCCTAGCGTCAGCTCCCTTCGTGTCTGGGAAAACAATGAAAAATTCATGCAAATGAAAAATAAATGCACACAAGCCGAAAAGGATAATGCAGCAAGGAGCACCGCACCGCCTCGACGAGCAGTGAGAAAATAGAAACACATTTCATGCAATTTCGGAACCAAGACCCGGACCAAGACCCGGACTCGGTTGCTCTCCAGGACGACTCTTGTGTCCCACTTCGACTCCTTTGTCTGTGGCACGAAATTTCAATAAATTATGCAAAAAATTTCGTGGTTTTCGCGCTTTTCCCTCGGTCTTTCCTATCCTCCACTCGTCCTCCGGTCTCCAGTCCTTTTATGCAACATTTTACTTGCTGTTTTATTCAAATTTGTGTGCATTTTTTATTTGCTATGAAAACAAAAATTTAACGCGTAACGATTTTTATGCGAGAGCAATAGTAGAGGCAGGACAGAGCGCCTTCAACCCTTCCCGGACCAGCCGACACAGCATCCTCCAGCTGTTTCAATTAATCCCCTTTTTTTCTGGGTGATCATTGACTGCCGATCTCTGTGTGCTCAGGTAAACGATATGTGTGTGCGAGCCTGCTGCGTATGCAAATAAGTTTGATTAAAAATTTAAATAGGGTCCCCCCTCCAGGAACACATTCACTTTTTTCGTGACAGCTGCGTTTCGGGTTCTCGAGTTTGTGGATCGTTGATCCTGGCCAACTGTAATTCACCTTTTGAACTCGCAGGAAGTAGACGTGGATAGAGCGTCCTCAGTGTTAAGGTGGTATAGGATTTGAAGTTCCAAGCGTGGAGGAGCTAAAAAATAAGAACCATGGAGGAGCACTCGTCGCACATGCGCAATTTTCAATTCTTCACTGCTAACCAGATAACTGTGATCCACAAACGCGGATGAAAGCACTTCCAGAACCGAGGCACGAGCTGGCCCGCATGGGGCATCCAGTGTCTTGGCCGCCTCGCTCAGCAGCAGCCGCAATACAAATGATTGTGTTTATACTATTAAAGTAATTTACTGAAAAATGACGCCCTGCCAAAACAAGATAATCCGCGGAGGGGAGCCCCTCCAACCGGAGCCGCTCGTCAAAGTCAACCGCTTTAGCTGGGGGTTAAGTAGCTGGCTGTCTACTTAAGCATAATCGAAGTATGGCGAGGCGATTGCGATCTCCACCGATCGATCGCTTGCTTTATCACAACATTCAGCTTTCTGCGGGGGGCTGAAAGCCGAGGAGACGGATAAGTGTGGTCAAGTGCAATAGCTGCTGATCGGGGCCGTTGAGGCAGCCTAGGCAGTCGAGGTGCGAGATCTGCAAATAATGTGGTCCAGGGGCCAGGGGCTGACTCCGAACTAGAGTCAAAGTGGGGGCCATGTGTTCGCCTGGGCGATCGTTAGCCCGACCCGCTCCTCTGCGGTGCACAGCTCTATTAACCCCTGCCGCTGATTTGGTGATAACGATCGTAATCGTAGCGGGACTCTAGGTGCAACACATGTTGCACTTTCCGCAAATCCCTGCCAACTCGAGGCACGCTGTGTGCTGGCCGTATTATTTTCCCCAATTTAGAAAATGGCTTTCCAACCGAAATTAGTATGATCCAATGTCCGCATTTATCGTACGTTCGCCTTGTTAGGGTTCTCCGAAACTGAGTGCAGGCCAGAAATTGAGGCTGATGGGGAAACATGTGTTTTGGCTCCTATATGACTGTGATTAAAAGAGCTACGAGTTCGAAAATTCCTGCCAACAGGGCCAAGAGGGCATCCATCGAAAGCGGCCAGAGTTTTCGGCTTTGGGGGAGCCTGACTGACTGACTGGCGGCGACTGTAATCAGACAAATAAATAAAATGTTTATTAAATCCATACTCATAAATATGCATGGGAACACGACGGGGGTATCCAGGCGGCTTGGAGAACAGAACTCAATGGGGTCTTCTAATTACGCCACAAAGGGTTCGGCTCTTGCAGTTAAATCAAACAAACCCCTCCACAGAGACAGGAGCCGGAGTAATCGGTCTTCGGTTCCAGTCATTCGCCAAACGAAAAAATTAAGAGCCATAAATATGCATGAGAGGCCATTGGGGGAGGAGTGTATATGTGGGAGCGACTTATGTAAAGCGAAAGCCTTTCCTTTTCCTCCCAGAAACAAAACAAACTCCCACGGAGAAAGTTGCAGCTGAAGGCGCCCACATAGTTTCCGTGTCTAAGCGAATACGAAAGCCATTTAATGAGTGGTGCAGCCTAAATGGAAAAGGCTTACAATTACAATTAAGAGAAGGAATCGGTTGGTCTGTCTGGTGCCTTTATTGGCGTTCGGCATTTTCGGGTATTTGACTTTGCGGTTCATTGATTAAAATCAAGCTGTTTGCAAGGGTAGGCCGCCTCCTGTTCGAGGACATTCGTACTACGTATCAAGCACGCTTCCTGTTTGTTTAATTGTGTTTCTGGGCACCCAGTTTGTTTGTCATTCTCATTAAAGCACGATGCGAATCAATACGGGGTATCCGCGAACGCTTGTATCATTACTCAGCGTTTATCAATCGCCATATATCGTTATTCGTTCGTTTATCGTTCTACCCGGAGCCGCTTGCGAATGATTTCAATTTTAGATTGCCAAATGAGGAAATAAAACACAATAAAGTAGGTCCGATTCCCCTCCACACGTCGACAGGATCGAGAGGTAGCAGGCCAATATGGCTTAATATTTGGCTTGCATGGCTCTGGTTACTTAATTTAAAAGACACCCAACGATTATTGGTTTGAAATTGCTTAGAACACGCGAGTACGTTTGCATTTTTTGTGCGAATGTCTATACGGTCGAGTAAATAGGTAGGCGTTGATCCAAAAAATACGAGTTCCTTATTGTTTATTGTCAGGACTCGTACAGCAAACAGAGGGGGGGGCACCTTTATTAGTCATTCGCGAAAGTCGGCAGACAAACACTTAGCTTCTCTCTGGTCCCGGTCCCGGTCTTGGTCTCGGTGTCATGTGTCCGCTCTGAGCAAGACCTCCAGTATGATGCGATGTAGCTCCGGCTATACGTCCATTAATCTTACCACTCGCCTCTATTCTCGTGCAGCGTGGTGCTACCTGTGTGCTACCTGGGAAGGCGGCGTGATATCGCCTCACCTTTCATGATGCAATTTGCATAGCGTTTAGGTTGCCAACTTGGCATCGCATATTAATATATTCGAGTAGCGGGGGCGCGCTTCCTTTCATGCCATGTTCGGTTTCACATCTCTTATCCTCCCGGTAGCATCCTTTCCAAGTCTCACGTGTACACGAAAATCTTTTTTGTGCGCAACAAGTCTCTGGACAAAATTCTCGTCTGATAAATGATATTGCAAACAGCTCTTGACTCGATATGCATAGAGCCCACAGTCCGGTGGTCATTAATAATTGTTGCGGGTCGCCCGGGACTGGCCAGAGAGCGGCATTACATGGCTATGGTGGCCGTTCTCAGGGGCAAGAGGTCAAGTGTGAGGCCCGGAGTGGAGCATGCGATACCACTTTTACATATCAAATGAGGTTCAATGATTATCACCCAGCTCGTGTGATGCGACCTGTGGAGCAACCCAGGGAGTGCCTCCACATCCCGCCGCTTGGCGGGGTTGATGATGGATTATTGGAACGTGTTGCTGGCCCAGCATCGAGGATGTACAAGGAGCACACGAGACTCATTAATCCTGGCGGCAAACGGTGGCCGGGTCCTGGGGCCGACTCCTCGACTCATTTGTGCCAAAAACTTTCTGCTTGATAAATTGCCCTTTCACGCATCCCACACACTCTCGCACCTCGGCACCGGGCTTGGGGCCTTCAACTTTTCCAATAGATAAACACTTAACACGTTTTTGCCAGTGGCTTAAATACTCCCCCTCTCAACTGTTGGCCTGACATTCAATCACTTTCTGCGAAGCGGCCCACATCCCTTTGGCTTCCTCTGGTATGCAAATACTTGACAGCTTCTCTATATTTTTCCATCCGAGGCGTTTGTTTTTTGCCGTCTGCCACGTTATTTCAAATTTATTGTGCGGTTTGTTTTGTGAGATTGTCACGTTTTGCTTCCGACTGTTTCACGCATTTAATGGTAGCGTACCCACTCCCTGCGTTTTAGACTTACATCTTTAATGAACAGGTATTTGTAACAAATATAAATCTTAAAGTGCAATTCTGATTTTAATCAGAGTCGCTGGAACTACCGGAGCTTCCCTCTTCGTCTTCAGAACCTTCATCCGAATCGGATCCCGTTGACTTGGAGGCTTCAGACAAGGATGAGCTTCTGCCGGAAGTCTCCGAAGCCGAGCTACGGCCAGCGTAATTCTCATCATCATCCGATCCGCTTTCATCACTTCTGGCGGTGTCATCGTTTTGCGTCTGGCCCTCACTCCCGTCTCCGCTAGAGTACTCCTCCACCACGTCCTCGTCGGATTCCTCCCTTTCGCTGCCCGAAGGACACTCCTGTTTTTAGGCTTCTGATAATTGTGATATTCCAAAAACTACAGATCGAAATTACCAAGACTCGCCTCTTGTCAACAGGCAATGTGCGAAGATCGTGGAGCTCCTTCATCAGAGCATTCCGCTCCATGAAGTGGTACTCGCGCTGCATTTGGCACTCTGTCAGGAGTTCTCGATTCTCCTTGCGCAGCTGGAACATCTCGCTCAGGATCTGGTGCTGCTTCTCCACTATGGTGGTCACCAGCTGCTCCAGATTTTCAATGGTCACCTCGTAGTCCAGCAGCTTTTTTTTCAGCAGCCAGTTTTCGGCCTGACAATCGGCCAGGTCGGAAGCGGAAACTTCCAAGTCTTTAGTGCCGGCTTCTGAGTCATTCTCCTCCCTGTGGGACAAACTTAGGAAGAGTTCATAGGGAAAAAACGTAATACCAACTCTTTTGTGGAATTTGCGGCGGCAGGACCATTCTCGTCAGAAGTAGGAGTTGTTTCCAATGAGGGATCCACCTGGTCATCACCTGTTTGGTTATTTTCACCGCCAGAATAATATTCACAAATACAGGACATTTTCAGTCGAGTTGTATAACCTTTGACAGATTTTCCCACACGAGGTGTCTGGACTTGAGAGCTGCCAAAAATGTTATCGTTTCGAAGTTGCCAGAGAGGACTATTAAATTAAAAGTGTCTCCCTGCAACAACCGCGTTTCATTGACTAAACACCCTGGCCCCCGACGCGGGGCACACTTTACGACTTGACATTTTCACACTTTGTTGGCAACGTTTGGACTCCTCCGGCACATTCCTTCCTGCTTCCTGCTTCCTCCCTCCTTCTGACTCCAGGCAGCTGACTTTCGCTCGTCCTTTTCGCGGAGCGTCAATGTCGCCGACGATGCAAGCCGGCACAGACCAGGACCTGCCAGTGTGTGGGGAGGACTTCCTTTTTTGTGCGTCGGTGGATTGAAGTGCAAAATTGGTTTAAGTGTTTGCTAAATTGGCAGCAAAATGGCTTTTTCAATTTATACTCAACGATTATGTGCGGGTCCTGGTCCAAAGATAGCAGAAGCTGCCGAAAACTTGCACCACAAAAACTAAACATTCTCATCCCGAGACGAGACTTCTTTTTTGGCAACAAGTGGCGCCTAGCTAGGTAATTGATATTTCCACTTCCATGGCCGATTGTTGACTTTGGCTTGCGACTTGGCTTTTAGCCGGCTGGTTAGCTGGATAGTCATAATTATGTGCCCATAAATAAATACGGTTTACCAACCACTCCCACTGGCCATTTCACACGCTCGGAGTCGGCACTAAACGGTTCGGTCCAGAACTCGAGTCGCTCACACATATCACTGGCAGTGGAGATAATCATGGCTTACACCCAAGCACTTTGGACACATACACACATTTTATAGTCCATTTGGTGGCCCCAACCCAGAGAGCGGAATCGTAATCGTGATACCTAAACAACGCCAAATTACACACCGGAGGGCGCTACGCAGGCCATGTTAACATAAATTTCCGCAACTCTCCTGCCTCCATGCAGCAGTTCGGGATCAAGCCTGGCCTGAAACTACCAACTAGACAACACATGCAAGCGCACATTTAAAAAGGCATAAGTCATACGTGGCTAATAAATTGATTTGCCAAAGTGGATTAGAGTTCATTGCTTCGCGGCTAGCAGGAAGACGCAGCCTGGTTGCGATTGGAGCTTGAGCCCCTGTATGCCCACTATTTTTAACTCCGACTTAACTATGTGAGCATTTGGATAGAAGCCCTCAGCCCAACGAGGGAGAAGCGGCAGGGTCGACCCCCAAAACGCTCGCCAACTGCTCTTGCACTCGAAGAAACCCGTCATCGATTCGAGGATAGGAAAGTTTAAGGAAAAGTATCTCTACTGACGTTTACATTTCTCAGCTGTATCGATTGGGCCGAGGGATAGTTGGGTATTTTGGCAGAAATAAATGCCAGTCTGGCCAAACATATTTCCCGAGTGCACACTTGGCGTTCACCGAGAAGAAAATCGCTAAAAATGCCAGTTTGAAGTCTATTATTTGCTGGACACGAGCATATATTGATTGCATCGCAGTCGCCTGGTCAGCAAAGAGATCCAGGAAAGCAAATTGCTTCAGCAAATACTCCAGGTACTACAAACCAGGACGGGGGACTTGGGATCAGGTGGGAGTGGGGAAATCACATGGTAATCGGTGCTCTGCGAGCGAGCCAGAAACATGGAAATGGAAACGGGGGAAACAATTGGGGCCCAGTTTCGGAGGAGGTGTTCCAAACCCGTTTGCAGGCGCAAAGTGCAGGTCCAGGCTGGCTGGGAGAGTTCGCGAGTCGGCCGAGACTTCGGGACTCGGCCGATTCGTGTGGTGCAGCATTTAGCGTCTTGATCGGTTTATCACCGATTAATTAGAGTTTGATAAATACGCGCACGCCGTGAGTGTATAAATCACAACAGCCCCGCTCTCAGGCCACCAGCCATCCAGCCTCACAACCAGGTGGGAGTTGGGGGGGGGAGTACGAGGTGGGGAAAAGCCCCAAAAAAGTATCCGCCAAACGAAATTTGCATATCCATCCACCCGCATGGAAAAAGTAGCAGTCGAGCTGAGGTAAACGTGTTTTATTTTTGCACGCTTGCTTTTTGATTTTTCACCGCATTTAGCATTTGCTTTGTTTTGGGCTGTCGCTGCTTTTGACGTCGCCCCACAAGCTGGAGGATGTTTTGAAAGGAGTAACGATAGGAGGAGTGGCTGGGGCTGGGGCTTTGGTGGCTGTGCAAAAGTGCAAAAATATCTTTGAACATTTCCCTGTGTGAGAATTAATTATGAAAGAGAAGGTCCTTTGAGATGCGCTTGACGGCCACGATGAGATGGCGACAGCGGCCCTGACGAGCGGGACTTTTGAATGCTAATTTGGGTCTGGATTTTGGGAAAGGACCAGGACCTGGCCACTGCATGTGAATGGGAATACAATTTTTCTTGTTCAATTTTTCCACTTAGCCTCAGTAAATACTGAATACTTGTGTGTCCTTGCTGGCTGTACCAATTATTTAACGACTAGGGAGCCTCGGTTCTGCCTAGTTTCTGTATCGAATTTCGTGGAGCTGTGGCTGCTACCATTTCTAGAGCTGACGCAGAAGACGAAGACCCTGGCAGAGTCCAACTTAACAGGTTATGGTTCTGTGCTGACTGCTCATTTTAATTCGCCTTTCACTGCCACATTTACGAGAACATGCCATGGGGAATGTCTTATGGTTTATTACCACAAGCAGCACACAACCGGGGCTAGGATGGAGGTTATTATTCGACGACTACTCGGCACCATGATTGCTACCTTTTTGCTGCACTCGGATTGCATTTGCTGGGCGACGTCTTTTATTCTTGCCCATGGCAGTGGCAAAAATGTTGACCACTTCTGCATGGAAGAGTTTTTCACTCCACTTCAGGAGCGGCCCCTCCAACCTCCAACCTCCTGCCTCAGCCCCTTTTTAGTTTTTGTCGCACTGAAATTGCTCTCGAGATATCTTCGTTACGGAATGAATGACTACTTGGACTGGTGCAATGGCCGGACGGTCGGCTGCGCCTGGACCCACCCAAAGTATTTGCGGTTTTTTCTTCACATCCTTTTGCACAATTATCCTGATTTCAATATTACTGCGTCATAAACAAAGCCGTAGACTGACCTCTCCTCCAAGGAGAAGGAATGGGAGCTTCCAGAATTCTGAACAAAATTATTATTATTTGCTTGCTCCGGAATTTGCATAGTAGTTCTGGTCCTTGAAGTTTCTTATCCTGGACAGGGCTTTCCTTATTGTGGCCACCTTAGTTTGTGCTTTGTCCTCAGACTTACTTCGTTAGGTCTGCTGGCCGCAAGGATTCGCAGAGAACAACAGGAAATTACTGTTCCGAATTTATTTGTTATTTGAGAAATAGTTTGGATTTCTGATAATTGTTTGTTTACCCTGCCGATATATTCTATACCCAAGTTTTTACCTTTAAACGGTATGTCCTTGGAAAATTCGCCAACTAACTTGACTGCCAGCTGCCAGGAAGAAGCGTCTGCGACTCCGCAACACGTATTCCCGCCCCCATTTCTTCTGCTTCACACTCGGCGAAAGTAATTCCTCCCCCCAGCTCCCATTAAATTGGCTTAATTTGGCGAAAGTGGCGTCCTTAAACCCTCCGAGGCAGCACAGTTTCCGAACAATAAAATCTGCACATCAGTCCCACAAACATCAGGCCCGGCAAGTACTCGCGTTGACATTTGTCAGAAACCAAGTCTCATTTATGGCTTCCCGGCTTGTACTTAAATGCTTTAGGTTTTCGCCAAGCGGCAATTGAAAATTCATAAGCCCCGGCCCCGGAGTCGGCAGATCTCCATTACCTCCCATTACAGCCCGCAGAAACAGGAGTAAACAAAGCGCAAACCCAATAACCCAGAATTTGGGAAATTGGCTGATGTGTTTTTTTGCGGAGGGTGGCGTCGCTTGCGAATTTTCCGACTGCGAATTTTCCAGCGTAAAGCACTCAACACGCCGACACGTGACAGTTGTTGCAAAATAGGTTTGCCTTTTCCCATTTCCCGACTCCGGTCGAACGTGTGTGGCTGTCGCAGTCAAGTGTGTAATCTGTGGTACCATTTTAAGAGGTTTGAATAGATTACTTGATTATTCTGGTGGTTTAGGAGAGGGAGTATGGGAAGGAAAGCGTCTAATCCGATGCTGAATTTCTCAATAATTGAGTTTTTACGGATATTGAAATGTACAAGGCACTGAAATTGTGGTTAGTAGATGTAATTAATATTTAAAACAGATGTTGTCAGACGTCTGCCACTCAATAGTCGGGGAGGAAATTGCAAAGAGCCTAGCCAAAGGTGGGCGGAGGAAACCCTTCCAAGAGTGTGGAAAAAGATTGGGGAAAAAAAGAAAAGACAGTCCTGCCAAAGCAATGCTCCTGCATCCTGCACTCGGCATCCTGCGGACCCAGTCGAACTCGCCTCGCAAGGCACAGTTGGCATCAAATTATGAAATAAGTAAGAGAGCACTCCATGCATTAAAAACCTTTTAATTTGCTAAATCGCCTTGCCAGACATCGTGGCTAGGGCTCAGGTCTCCCCGTACCCAGTTTGCCAGTTTCCCAGTTGTTGTTGTCGGATTGCAAAGGGGATAAGCGGAAGCGGATGGTGCGGAACGGAGTCTGTGCACATTTTTGAGATTTGCAGACGCCTAAAGGAGCTGCCCTGCCTACGCGCATAGACACTTGTTTCGGGGATTCTTTGCATTTTATTTTTGGCAGCTGAAAAAGTTGAATAAGCCATGCAAACACTAGAAGCCAGCGAGACTGCTTGAGAGTTCTTTCACGAGTGGGAGGGCCTGTGCCTGAGCCAGAGTCTGAGCCTTAGCCGGCGATAATTTTCACTTTTGTGTTCTCGGGGAGCCAGCTCTGAATTCCTACACGAGTCAGTGCATTGGATATCCCTCCACTCACCTACAGTTTTTCTCTGCTTATTTCATTGTTCCAAGTCCAAGTCCTGACTCGACAGTTGCAAGTGGGCACAATGTGTGACTCTGATGGAAGTACTTTAAGTCGCTGATTCGGGCTTCTGGTTTAAAGGCGCCTAAAAGCAGGCATCGCAGCCACCG